TTTTAAAGGCTTTTTCTATATTGCAAAGTTAAAATGCATAAATCTCTCTACGGAAAAATACTCCTAACCCAGAGTTGAAGGCACAAAATTGTATAATTATGCTGCTTTTTAGCGGCAATATCTCTTACCAACCAAAGGATTGACTACACATTATCTATTTAAATAGAGTTCAAACTTTTTTTTATGCCCCACCTACGATAGTAGAGGGACATTATGTTTTTTGGTCTGTGCGTCCGTTCGTTAGTTCGTTCGTCCGTTCGTTAGTTCGTCCGTCCCGCTTCAGGTTAAAGTTTTTGGTCAAGGTAGTTTTTGATGAAGTTGAAGTCCAATCAACTTGAAACTTAGTACACACTTTTTACCTATGATATGATCTTTCTAATTTCAATGCCAAATTAGAGTTTTGACCCCAATTTCCACTGAACATAGAAAATGATAGTGCGAGTGGGGCATCCGTGTACTATGGACACATTCTTGTTTCATTCGAGGTTAGATAAATAGGTAGATCGCAGCTACATTTACTTTTATTAGAGACATATATACACATGTGTATATATGTCTGCCTTTAATTCATAGTAAAAAAATTCATCAAAGATACCAGGCTTTGAAATTTGTACGATTTTCATGTGAATAACACTCCACGTCGCTTTCACTGTATATTGAGTCAGCTTTAGCCAGGATAGAGTGTTATCAAAAGAAGAGCACCTTTTCATCATTGGTCATACATGTATTTTGTAATTCATTGTTAGTAAATGTATTATGAATGATGTTGGATGGACTTGAGAAAACTGTCAAATCAGGTCAAACATTTTAAAATGCACTGAATGTGTCATAAAAGCAATTAGTGACACACTTTTACCAGAGTATAGTCGGTCGACGTCCTGATCCCGATCAGGATCACCACTGACTCCATGTGTTTAGTTATCACGCTTTTTTAAAAATCCGTCCACCCTATTAGATCGTCAATCCGATAGGTAACTAAATACTGCCCTCGCGTTCTTTTCAATGACTCTATACTCCGGATTTACTACTTTAAAAACACATTCTTATATTTCGTCGTTTGTCTAAATTTCATGTTATTCCGAGGTACATTCACTTTTTCCTTAGTGTTGTGAAAACCTGTTTTCATGATATCAGGTTTGTCCCTGAATCTAGAGGGCAAGAGAGTCGTGGCAAGAATCTTTTACATTATCGGAGACGGAATCGCTTAAAGCCAGAATCAAATCATTTGCTTTTTCCATTTAATCTGCACCGTCAGGGAACGGAATGCCACTTACAGTAACTGTTATGTCAGTGTTATTAAACGGATTGTGTATACGACCCAACCGTTTATCATGTACCGTTATTGTTTAATGCAGGGTTTTGTTGTTCTACGTTGTGTGCATGCCGTTGTGCGCCTCTCCTTGCCGACCTCTTCTTTTTTTCATATGAGTCGGAGTTCCGTCAGATACTTGTCAAAAAACAAAAATATCAAAGAAGCCAAGATATATTGATGATGTTCTTTCCATTAACAATCCAAACTTTTGTGATTGTGTTCCATTAATATATCCTCCAGAATTAATGAAACAACAGACACGGCTTCCTCCGCCTCATTTTTATACCTCGAATCCGACATAAGCGGTCATGTCAGTACCAGAATCTATGACAAACAAGACGATTTTAATTTTGAAATTATAAATTTCTCCCCTTCTTAGCAGCAATATACCAACTTCACCTGCGTATGAGATATACATTTCCCAAATCATTCGGTATTCAAGAGCTTGCAGCTACTTGTCAGACTTTATAAAATGTCACCAATGTCTGAGCAGAAAGTTGATGAACCATGGTTATGTCAAAGAACGTCTCATCCTTTTTCTTAAAAAAGTTCATCGGAAGATACCAAGACCTTGTTTTGATAAATATTCCGTATTAACTTCTCAAATAATACATGATGGTCTTAAAGTATAGATTCTAGGTACTGACGTTGTTTATCATCTTAATTCGTGTAATAGTGTTCTTTTTATTTGTCTTTGTATATTTTTAACCTTTACTGTTTAGTCTATTTTTGGTAATATACTTTTGGAGCGGCTCGGTATTTATACATCCCACCATTGTGTTATTGTGCTTTGGTAATTTTTGTATTATTGTCTTTCATTTTTGCTTATGTACTTTGTCTATAAATTGTTTATATGCCATTTTTGTTTTTCTTTGTTGAAATAGTTATTTGTTTTATAGTTATTAAGATTATTGAAGGCCGCACTTGACCTATAATTGTTTACTTTTTACACATTGTGACTTGGATTGAGAGTTGTCACATTGGCACTCATACCACATCTTTTTATTTCTATATAACACAATGTTGACTGCTGTACCCCAATGTTTTACATTTTTACCTATTACGTCTGTTTGTTTTGCTCACACATTGTTGTCAATATAATGGAATTCTATGCGACTGTCATACAAGTGAGAAGTTTAGCTAGCTATAACACCAGGTTCAATCCACCATTTTCTACATAAGGAAATGCCTTGGAGTTCGGTACTTTTTTTATTTTACTTTTTTGTATTGGTTAAACCAGAGGCATATATACACTCTGGTTGAACTGTAGTAAATGTCAAAATGTCATTATTGAATAATTAACAATTAAAACCAAATTCTGAACATCATTATGGCATTTAAAGAACTACCAATAAGCAACGACCATTGTAGGAAATGTTATTTTTTAAAAGACTTTAAGACTTTTGAACGAACCATGTTATTGAGATAACACAAAGCAAGAATCCCGCTTACTATGCAAACATATATCAGGTTACGGATGTCTTTTGTGATGCATTCTGCATAAAACATATAGACTATAAATTGTAATGATGAAATCCGTGCTCTAATACAAATCATTTCCCTATATCTAGCTCCAAAACTGAACAATAAGGTGCAAATATCGTTTAAATTAATGACAGTTTATAAAGATTCGGAAATAAACTGGTTTAATCATTACCATTTTTCCTATTTCACAATTACTTTCATTCAATAACACCAGTTTTGTCATCAGTGATATGCTTTTGAAAAAAAACATAGTTCGAATTCGAATTGGTGATTAAGGTATGATTTATAGATACTGAACCCAAAATGAAAATAAATTTGACATGTATTTGATCATCTGCGATGTAAATTATGGTAGTCTTTTCAAAGCGGTTGATTTGGACTTATCGGTACAGCACACAGTAAGAAATTACATGAATCATTTAAATGAACCTTCAAAAAACAAGTGAAAAGGTTTCGAAGGCGCCTATGAGAATATACGCTTAATGAGAAATGTGGCAAACTGTATCGACAAAAAAGTACATTAAATGAACATGATCGACACTAAGTTTGACCTTATTGGACCTACAAAAGCAATCAGATTCAAAGATCTCGTGTTTACATAAAGCCATGATAACATTGGAAGTATATTTATTAGTTTATTTTACGATTTTGGGATAAACGTTTTAAAAATATATATTCAAGCGAGGAAATGTAATCAATTTTTGGCAATAATATCTGGTTAAAAATTTGACATGAACGCTTCTGTTTTGAAAATCAGGCAAGATACGAGTTCATCTTGATAGTTTTAGCGGTTTATATATGACATGGATTTAAATCATTTTTAGCAAAAACGATATTTTAGATTATAAACAATAAAACATGGTATCGATAATTAGATTTAAGTAGTTGCATTCTTTATTGATTTTTTTTTTCATGAAATCCTGAATTATTTGAAGAAAAACTTATGTATTTATTTATTCATTCATTAATTTATTTTTATTCGTTTCTATGTGTATTTATTCATTCATTCATTTTTTCTATACGTTTCTATGTGTATTTATCCATTCATTCATTTATTTCTATACGTTTCTATGTGTATTTATTCATATATCATGTGGTTTATATTATCGTCATAGTATTGAAACATATTGATTTTTTTTCAATTGTTTATTTTGAAAGATGCAAAGGAGTAAGTTTTGTATGGGCCTTGAATATTTAGTCCATTGTTTCAAGATAAAATATATATTTCAAGTTGGTGAAAATACACGTACTAAGTAAGTGAAATAGAATTGTATTGGTGAAATTTGACGAAGTCGTCAACCAAATTGAGACTTAGGACACATAGAGCGCACGCTACGAAAATTATTGTAAATATACCAGTCTGATATGTGAAAGTTTAAAACAAACATTATGTAAAAAGATCTTTTTTTGTCGAGGCATACGCTCTCTGTTTTCTGTCCAAACATCAATAGCACTTTACCTGTTTTCATTGATTTTTTTGTGAAAAATCTAAATGCGTGCTATTTGTAAATAGATATAGGAAGATGTGGTATGAGTGCCAATGAGACAACTCTCCATCCAAGTTACAATTTATAAAAGTAAACCATTATAGGTCAAGGTACGGCCTTCAACATGGAGCATTGGCTCACACCGAACAGCAAGCTATAATGGGCCCCAAAAAAATTACTAGTGTAAAACCATTCAAACGGAAAAACCAACGGTCTAATCTATATAAAAACGAGAAACGAGAAACACGTATGAACTACATAAACAGACGACAACTACTGTAATCATATTCCTGACTTAGGACAGGTGCAAACATTTGCAGCGGGATTAAACGTTTTAATGGTACCAAACCTTCTCCCTTTTCTGAAACAATAGTATAACATCACAACATAGAAAAACACACTATAAAATATCAATTGGAAGGCTTAACTCAATCAAAAAACGTAAATTAACACACAATGAACGAATAAATTTGACCTGTGACACCTGAATGCAAATACACAGTTAATGAAAAATTACAAGGGATAAATAATTAAAGTCAAAAGTAAATAAACAGGTTTAAAGTCATGAAAGAACGTTATTATACGTATGTATTGTGATATTGGTCAATAAATCATAATTTGAAATTTTAGCTCCAAATAGGGACCATTTTAGGGCCTTATCTAACCTACTCCTTTGAAGAATTATTAATTGCCATTTTGGAATGTATATTATATAGTGTGATCCAGGCGTAGCAACAGACGCACTTTTAGATTTGATATACCGAAAACCACAGATACTGATGGTTATGGGAGGCGCATGCTCAGAGGTAACAGAAACTTTGGCAGAGCTGTCCCCATATTGGAATTTGATTTTAGTGAGTTATAGATATACACATTTATTTCTCCGAGATTTCCCATAAAACAGATTAATTCTTCTTTAGACCGCCAACGTCTATCATTTGGAGAAGTTCGGTGTGATAAAAACATGTTCTAGAATATTTAAATAATCAACAGCCAAGAAAATAGGTCAACAAAAACAAATGCCACCTCCTTGTCCTTTGTCTCTGCTTGATAGTCATCTCATTAGAAATTATATCATATCTCACTATTTTTATAAGCCTATAAATGCAGAAATGAAAGATGTAATGAACATATAGTTGCAGCATCAAACTTTTTGTTTAAACTAATCTGAATTATATGGGTTGTATATTCTTGTACAAGAACATAGATCATAATGGATTGAAACATGCGCATAGAGCATGAGCTAAACGGGAACCAATATATCAAATATGACTTGATATTGATCAATGGAAAAGAATGGTGTTATCTAATTTAAACCACAGTAAGCAGAATTGGATTGAGCAACTGACACTGCACTCAAACTCTCTCTGCAATGAAATGTGAACTAAGTATTCAGAGAACATTAGCTTGAACATTTACATGAAGAATGAATTTGAATCTGTATTAAAAGAATGATGTATACACGAAGCATGACGTTAACCTTCACATGATCTTTTAGACTGTAGTAAGACTTAATCATGAACAGAAAGCATGAACTAAACTAGCACATTTGGCTTGAGCTATTCCATAAATATGTAGCATGAACATTTAACATTTAATTTTTACACTATTTATGAATTAACATGGACATGTAGTTTTTACTATATTGAAAATGAAAATGAGTATGGACCGGAACGTAAATCTACAGCATTAAATCAATCACAATCAAACGCACAGACCTTGTAGTCTACTAACAATTAAGTGAGCATAAAAATCGGTATCATCAATTTTATGACATTAGCTGAAAACTTTTTTTGTTTAGGTTTCCTATGCATCAACCTCACCAGCCTTAAGTGAAAGGGAGAGATACAAAACTTTCTTTAGACTGGCGTCAACTGATTCGTCCAACAATCCAGCAAGAGAATTATTTATTCAGCATTTTAAATGGGATACTGTAGCTACCATATATGAAAATAAGGAAATGTTCTATCTTGTAGGTGAATATAAAAGCATCCTTGTATTCTTTATACATTACTAATTATTTATATCACAATGGTTTCTTAAAAACAAAAAATGGATCTAATATTTAATTATAATGTTAACTTACATCTTGTTAGAGATACAGGGTAACTTTCATTACGCAATATCACGTGCCTCATTCAAAACTTGAAGAAAAACACACATATCAAAAACATGTCAGTTCATGCAATGCGACCATTATCGTCGTCGGACGAGGAAAAGATATGATATTGTAGATTAACAGTCAAATTTGACTCTTTGATTACCCGAATAAGCATAGCTTTGCTCTTTGTGTTTCCAGAGTCTTGTCCATGACGCCACAAAATAATATATGTTCAGATGCACATAAAAGCTTTCCTACCGTTAGACTAAGTGCAAAATGATAAATCTATAGTTTAAATGATATAAAGCCTTCAATTGTTCTTAATTTGAAATTCAACCAATTTGTGCAGTAAAATCTGATAGATATACTCTTTTTTCAAAAATTCCTCATGTCTGATATTATCTCATAACTATGTTTTTATTGGTAAAGTATGACGGCAATCAAGGCAAACAAATCATCTCGTGACTTACTTCCGATAATGGTTTTTAAATTTTCTGTATAGTGTTTTATGGTCTGTTGTTTGTCTTTACGTAATGTTTCCTTTGGTAACGATTTTGTCAGTTTTTCAATAATTTGTGTGTTTGTACTGCTCTCTCTTGTATGACCTCAAACACAAGCAGTTTGTGTTATGTATTCCTGTAAATGAAATATCAAATATTTTTTTTTTACTTTATAGAATCTTTTTCAATTGATTTACTCCATTTGTTCGCTGGGTTACAATGAAACCGACATGTAACATATTGACATTTTGTAGCTTTATATAACTAGTTCAAGCATACAAACTTTCCAATAATTTGATGTTTAATGTTTTTATCATAAAATTTCTAACTTTACATATGATACATGTACATAATCAGTTTACCGTTTCTAATGCTCCAGAACATTTATGAGCTCGATTCCTAGTTTAACATATTTTCACTTGTAATTGACATTGTTGAAACTAGAAATAATTACCATACCTGTCGACATGAGTTCAATTCTGCTTTGGTGAGTTTTGTTTTAAATTTGTTTTTCTAAAAATGGTTTTGACGTCAATTTATCTTTCTGTTCTTTGTTATTCAGGCATAAAGCTGTATGCTTTTTGTAGTCTTCATGGAATGGCAATCATACCACGTGTTTTTAAATTGAAGCAATCTTTGAGCAATCTTTCTGTTTTTCAGGCTATTGATGGACTTGCAAAAACATTAGAGAAAAACAAAATAACAATTAAGAGATCAGTGTCATTCAATACAAAAGAAACTGAGATATCATCAAAAATCCTCGAACTTCAGGTATTTTTTTTTTCTTTAATTGATGAAGGTTGATGATGAAAATCCTCATGCATTAATAAATGGCTGCGGGAAGTTCGGTCGGTAAAGTGTTTCAAAAACATGTTTTTTGTCATTCTCCCATCAATTAAACTCTTTTGGATTCGAATATACTCCATATTCATAGCTACTCGGAAGCCAGCAATTCGTAATCGCCTTTATTTGGTAAAGTTTTACAGGAAGTTTTCAGTTTAAAAACAATTAAATTTAAAACTTTAAAGTTGCAACTTATTGAGACAATACGCTATTCTGTCTACGACTTTCGAATGCTAAAACTTTCAATAACTTTTAAAATATTTGCTCCTATTCCCCTTGGTACAAAAATAAACGACGAATGTTATTTCAGAAACAATTGTCACTCAGGTTATATTGATAAACATCAGTGGATCCTGTTGTTTTAAAGTTTATAATTGATAAAAAAAAATCAATTATGACAATCACTATTTTACCAATGGCAATTGGTATCGTCTCACATCAGGCAAAAACAAAACTATATACTGCAGAAGGTATCTAAACATTCTCAGTGTAATATTTTTTATCACTGCATCTATCCAACTAAATGCATTAACATGCGAACAGTTGGTATCGTTGGTATCTTTCGCCTCTCTTTTGAATACCACTTATATATTTTTTGTTCTTACACTTAAGCAAGATTTGGGCTATTTTAATTTTTTTAAATGTATTTTATGCAGTGAAATACCAGATTCTACACAAGAGATGGACACAATCGCGCAATGCACATTTAAGAATAAGGCAAAGATTATACATCAAACACACTACTTCTTTTTATTTTACAGCGAGCCGATATTCGAGTCATAATTGCAGGTTTTTCTGAAGTTGCAGCTAGGAAGGTTTTCTGTCAGGTAAGCTTTATATGGAATAACTTATAATCTTGAAATACATTTGAGTGTACTACATCACATTAAAGTTATAATTAAGCATTCATAGATCACAAGGAAGCTGTAAAAAAACTATTCATTCCTGTAGAGAAAAGACTCAAGGCAAAAACAATCAAAAAGAATCCGTATGCATATACTGTGAATAAGAAAAAGAAATACCAAGACTTACACTCGTCAGATTTGCGTTCTTAAAACAAACTGAAAGGCTTTTGACTAAGATTAGTTGTAAATGAGCCACATGACAGCAACTTTCAAATATACAACGGTCATAACATGATCTTGAATAATAAATGAAAGCCGAAACCATACTAGCTATGAAATAGCGTTTTCCTTTTAGCTTTAGTACTCGAAAGCTGTCGAGACCAGTGGTATCATTAAAAATAACGCACGTACAGTACATTAAAAGGACATTGAAGTGTAGGTTTCTGTTATTTCTTAAAATAGGTGTTTGCAAATGTCAACAAAATCCGAATGGCTATATTTTTTTAACAAAGTTAACACGGATTAAATGGAAGAAACCTAAAGAATCACCAATATATATACAGCACTAGTATATGAACCGTTTCATAATAAGAACGTACGAAAAATAAACCATATGACTTTTTATTGATATTATTCGCCATTGAAATAAAAAACGAATGGAAGATGCTAGGCTTATAATTTAGTACACTATACTTGCATTTCGCCTAAAAATAAAAACCTAATCACTGACGCTCGAATATTCAAAAGCCAATAACAAGTTTAAAGAGCATTGAACATTTCGTGGCGTTTGATAAGAGACATTGAGATTTCCACTATTGTGTGTTGCCTTATCATCATATAAAAGTTTTCAACGCATTTTAACAGGAGTAACAAAGCTGGTGTCACTAGTGGAGTAGGATCCAAACTGCCAATCCTTCCAGCACACTTGAGTTTATCCCTGGTGGAATTCGTCTTGATCAATTTTTATTTTCTGTATAGTGTCTGCTTTTTTGTTTGTCTTAATTTTGTTTTTCTTTTTAACCGTGGTGTTTTTATTGGACTTTTTTTTGCCTCCCTATCAAAACTAAACTCCCAATGAGTGACATTTCATGTCAGCACAGGAGTTATATGACCACTGGGGTGTTGATATTCTGAGGACGTAACGTCAACCAGCAGTGGCATCTTCCAAGTAGTTATAAAAGCTCATTATTCAGTACAATTTTTTATCATCGGTCTAACATTTTTACTGGTTTTGTTATATGAATTGTCATCAAACTTGTCAGTTTTTACGGACTTCTCCATTTTAAATTTGCCTTGGAGTTCAGTATTTTTTTTTATACGTTTTTTGTCCATCTGTATTCTATGGGATATTTACTTTTTGCACTCTAACATTTATCTGCGCTTTTATCTTTACAGATATACGATTGTATTACTACATTCTATACAATATCGATACAAAAGTAAATATTTGATTTAAATATTGTTTTAGGCGTATAAGCATGGTATGTTTGGTGCCCGATTTGTATGGATATTGATCAAAGAAACCGTTGAAAGGTGGTGGGAAGCCTCAAACGATACAGAATGTACAGTAGCCGAGTTACAGAAAGCGACCGAGGGATATTTTATTGTAACAAGCTTGAATACATTTAATAATAACCAAATGTCTGTTTCAAATATTGTAAGTTTTCAAAACAATTATTTAATACATATCTCTTAAAAAAACAAACCCTATTTTTTTCTTTTTCCTAATTTTTCTTTCCTTTTTAACTTTTTCCTTTCTTGGAAAATTATATATCATAAAGACGAATTAGCATTTATGACCAGCCATTGGATATCAACTTAATTAAAGATTCGTCATTCTAAAAATATGTTACGAACAACTCAATATAGCTAATTTAAGATGCATTTATTTGGAAGTATTGATGAGCCTAATGCGAATCTGTAAACCCTCAAACTGTACCCTAAATAAAATGATAAAAAGCAATATTAGTTTACATAATTCTCAAAAAGAACAAACGACAAAAAATGTAAAACACCTTGATATCACATAAGAGATTCCTATAACTACTATTAAATAAGAATGCTGTTATTTTGTAAATCTCAAATACATTTATTACTCGTGCATTTATTTAAGCATATAATCGACATTTTAGTTAGTGATTCAAACAATGGAATTTCAGAAATGTCTAAATACACGTGGCTGTATCATAAAACATTATTGTGGATTGTCGTTATTTAGTTTTGAAATTGAATTACTGTCAACACAAGCTGATCGATTTTGATTTTTTGTTTAAATACTACAGACGGCAGAAAAGTTTCTGGTAGATTACAAGAGTATAAATGGTACAGTACCTCTCAGTCCATATGCTACCAGTGCGTATGATACAGTTTGGACCATGGCATTAACTATCAAAGAAACTTTACGACACTGGAGAGAAAACAGCTCATCACATAACATCTCACAATTTGATTATGATGACGGAGAATATATTATGGCAGATTTGCGTCGTGTTATGCAGAATTTGAGTTTTGATGGCCTATCCGTAAGTTTTGAAAAGTTAAACAATCGACTAGTACGGACCAAAATATAAAGCCAATACTTTAGTTGATAAAATAGCCTTGTCCGTTCGTTTTTTGGAAAATGTCTCAAATTGTAAAATAAAGCAGTCGACAGATACTTTCTATTCAATTGATAGAATCGTCTAGAAAAATCATAATTTGACACTAGCATTTTGTAGTCAGTGTACTGTGGGAGGGATGACACAACATGATAAAAATGATGAAGTTGTTTCAGGATACATCAAAACGATATATGTATATCTGTTGTGTGTACATTATTAATTTCGGTTATTGACATGTAATAAATTACCACTGCTACAATTGTCAAATCCTATTTATATTTTATATGTTTCTTGTAAACAGTAATTCGAACAATGCAAAGAGTCCAGTAATAACATTAATGGTACTAACTGTATTACACCAGATGCGTATTTAGACAGTAACTGTTTCTTCGGTGATGTTCGAGGCATCGGGATATATTCATCATTACTCATACAAGTGGTTTTATGAAGATTTCGTGAATATATTATTTGTATGAGCATTACTCGACAGTACGTCGTATATTGTTGTCAGATCATGTATGTGACTGAGAAGAAGCAATGTGTACATTTTGTAACAGACTAGTAGCTTTCGTTAGACCGTAACTATATGTTGTCAGGGAAAAGTAAAATCACAAAAATACTGAACTCCGAGGAAAATTCTAAAAGGAAAGTCCCTAATCAAATGGCAAAATCAAAAGCTCAAACACATCAAACGAATGGATAACAACTGTCATATTCCTGACTTGGTACAGGCATTTTCTTATGTAGAAAATGGTGGATTGAACCTGGTTTTAAAGCTAGCTAAACCTCTCACTTGTATGACAGTCGCATCATTTTGCGAATTTGTAATTGGTTAATGGTCAATATGTTTTTTTTTTCTGTTTTGCATTGTTTTAAAACATTCACTATCTAAAGTCATTTTTACTCTAAAATATCTGCTGTAATAATGATTTAAGGTTGAAGAATTAGATACAGAAAAATTTAAAGCGCTATGAAGAAAATGATTCTGACATAGTAATTAGTAGAAATACTATCCGATGGCAAATCTATGAACATCAACAACAATTTACCAAATAGTATGCGTCACAGATACATACATTGAGCACACATTTATGTAGAGTTGAATTCGACAGCATTTGCCTCCAAAATCATGACTTCGACCTACAAACAGAACTTTAATTTCCTGTTACAAATACAATTACTATGAAACTGTAATCCGTACCATGACAAATGTACTTAAATAAATCTTCATTATATTAAGTCGAGACCAAGAATTCTGAAGTATGATATCTAAATCATGCCACTTCTGTTTCAATGGGAATGCCTGAGCTTATAGTCCTTATCAGTAATGACCTAGAGGTTGTAAATGAAAAAGATAAGGATTTAGCGCATAAAATAAAAAAAGCAATACAAATCATATGATGTTACTCTCGGCAATACAATACTATAATGACGTAACTTAAATTGAAGGATTAGGTAAGCGTGTACAGATTTGATTAAAATCTCCCATAAAACCGCTATAAAAAATCGAGCGGATTGCAGATTTAATGGGTTAATAAAACGAGAAACAAAATTACTGAATACCAAAAATGATATATTTTGCGTTGCAACACCGCTGATTACATTTATTTAAATCTTCTAGTTTTTTATGAATGCAGTTTGAAGAATCAACAAGTGCAGTACAACAAATTTTACAGACGCAATATCTATCATTCGGCGATACATCAGCACAGAGTGGCATACAATTTCTACTTCATTAGTTGTGATGATCATCACAAACCACATTTGTCTCCCTTTGATAACATTGGAGTGTTATAAATAAAATATATTGACAAGTGAAATGATTTATAGTGTTCCATAAAATCCACTTTGCTCCGATAGATATTACTTCTGTTAAATGGTTACATTATTGTTTGTCTATTCAATTAGATGTAAGCAACCATAAATAATCTGTGACACTGTTGAGTCTTATACTCTGATTTATCTTGTTTTTCATCACTAAATAATAAAGATTATTCTGAAGTAAAACAGACCAGTGGGCGGAATTAGTTTGGAATTTTTTGATCCGTTGACGGGTGTAACAGAAATTGGTTCAGATAATAAAAGAATTTGACACAAATCGGTAAAATTTATAATACATTTTCAAAACAAAAACGTTCTTCTCAATTGTGATGTACATTTTGTAACCTTTAGGATTTCCAGTAGTTTTTTTTCTAATTAGTTTGTTTTGTATGTTTTCCCTTTAAGCATTCGTATTTATAAATAAAACGATTTAACCCAATACTGCATATTTTACTGAAACGTAGAAGGGATAAAGGCCTTTTTACATAGTACATAGTAGGTTCTCTCTTATATCCTTTTCAATTTACATTTTCATGTTTTTGAAATTATGCTGATGGTACTCTTGTGACCAAGAAGGATACTGCATTGTAGAAAAATAATCTATATATGAACAGCTTCGAGGAAATCTGAACAAAATAGATGTTTTAGTTTTTGCATTTTATATATCCTTTCCCAAATATTTACAGAAAAAAACCACAAATTATATTACCACTTTATGAATTGATGAATATCATCAATTAAAAATAGAAGCGAAGTCAAGTAAAGCTTAATTATGGCATAGTTTTGTTTTCAGGGACCAATATCCTTTCAAGGCCCGGATAGGAGGGGAATATCGGTTGTCTCACAAAATCAAGGTATGCTTTCAATTTCATTATTGTGATGTATACTTATATAAATCTTCCGATAGTTTTTAACAGTCGTGAAATTATTTTCATCTTTCACTTCCTTTTCTTTTATATGAATATTTTTGTATATAAATATAAATTTATAATTAAGTAGTGTTGATTGATCAATCCATATTTATTATCCATTTTTTTTGTAGGCGGTAGAATGAAAACAGTTGCTATGTACGACCCTGAAAATCGAATTTTGAATTTCAATTGTTCCCAATGTGACCACATTCTATGGAAAGGTAAAGAATGAAATAAGCATCTTATTAAAAATGCTGTTCGATATCAACGGAATCTTTCCCGATACAATGTTATATTCCATGTGGTTTGCTTGTCTGAAAACTCCTCTCGCAATGTCACATAAATGCTCAGTTTAGTGAAAAATTTCCAATATATGTTTCTTAATTTTTTGCACGAGATTTGTAGACATACCGATTTGCATGAAGAATAATATATTCGCACCATGAATAGCACCCAAACTTTCCTACTTTCATCAATGGTTTCATTATCAAATAAAATATTTTTTTCCGAACATGATGTTAACGTATTATAAACAATGGGTCCTCGGTGGCCGAGTGGTATAAGTAGTCGAACTACTGTATCTCTAGCCTGTCAACATTGAGATTGTGGGTTGGAATCGTGGCAGGTGCGCTCGAATCTAATCTTTATCGACTAGGATTGTCAATTTCCTACAGAAAGTCGGTGGTTCTCTCCTGGCACCTCGGCTTCCTCCACCGAAAAAAATGACTGCCACGAAATAACACAATAGTGCTGAAAGTGGCATTTTACACCAATCAATTAATCAATCAATCAATCAATTAATATAAACAGTGAAAGAGTATTGCCTTTTATAAAAACATGTTTTACATCTCACTTCATTAGAAGTTAAACATACAAATAAATGTATTACAATGAATATTATAAAATTAAAAGTTTGAGAAAGTTAAAATACAACAGGAAATATATTTCTTTTCTTTGAAACATTTATAAGTTGGCTAAAAAACTTTTTCTGAAATAAAATTCCCTGTCTTACATCTCACGATACAAGAATTGTTTCCTATTCAATATGACGATATTTTGAATGATGCTAGACTCGCACGGCGGATGGTATATGTAAAAAAAGATAAACGAGATTTTTGAATCGGTATACAATCATGAAACTACGGTTGCCTCTTAAAACTTACTAGGCTTATAAATAAACTCATCATAGATACAAGGATTAATATTTTGTACGCCAGGCGCGCGTTTTTTTTTTTTTTTTACAAAAGACTCACCAGTGACGCTCGAATAAAAAAGGCAAAATAAAAGTACGAAGTTGACAAACATTGAGGACCCAAAATTCCGAAAGGTTTTGTCAAAAACAGCTAAGGTAAACTATTTATTTTGGTAGGAAATCCTTAGTATTTTGAAAAATTCAAAGTTATATAAACAGTTAATTTATAATTATGACCATATCAATGATTATTCATGTGAACACAGAAGTTCTGAGTACTGGGCTGATGATTCTCTCGGGGAGAAACCTCCACCAGCAGTGGCATCGACAGTGGTTGTAAATAAACTCATCATACTTTGTACGCCAGACGCTCGTTTCGGCCACAAAATACTCATCAGTGACACTGCGTTACTGTATTTCTAAACCGTTTCACATATTATAAAGTTATTTAAAAGAAATGTATATATTTGACATTTTCGTCAGAGAGGTATATATGAAAGGAATGTTGAACATAAAGCATATGTTCAAGCGATTCTTGTCACCACTTCGTTTATTGTTATTGTCATTATTGAGTTTAAAACACACTGGTATAAAAACAATTGAAAATGCATATAACCAAAAATGATTGATAGACAAATATTTTAACTTGAACGGACGTAAAAGCTTTATATGACAACTTTAAGAAGTTTCGTTGCACATCATTTCCTTTTTTACAGGAAACAGGTTTCCTAGAGATAAAGTACTATTTATCATTCGACAAAGAGGGATAAATGACCATGCATTTTACGCCATAGTATGTGTCTCGCTGACAGGAATTATCTCTTCCGTTTGTTTTCTACGTTTCAACTATCACTACCGTAAATTAAGGTATTATGGAGATTAAAATCTTATTGTATATGTTTTTAAACAACCTCTTATTTAGCCATAGAATTATGTGACAAATTTCATTGTTAATAAATTCGTAACATACATTTACACCATGATGTCGTCAAATGTAACTGGATACCCTGCATTTATCTTGCTTTTCAATGAAATATTATCAAATCGCTGAGAGACCCTCCCTAAATTATTGTAAACTACCATTCTGCACTGACAATAACATCTTGGTGGAAATAAGATACACCCATCAGGCTAAAGCATTACTAGCTATGGTATAAGGCAAATGCAACGGTATATATCAGAAATATTCTGCATTATTTGATTTATAGAAATAAGGTGAGGTTTCAATTGAAATTTCAGGTATATAAAGCTTTCAAGTCCTAAACTGAATAATCTGGCTGTTTTTGGATGTATTTTGGTGTATACTGGGATTTTACTATTAGGTCTTGATGACAACCGCCTGCAACAGAAAAATTATCCAGTTTTCTGCACGGTAATTGGATAAAATTAAATAATTCCTGATTATATTATGCAAAACGGTCACTCTTCTATTTGAGTTCATGTGAATCCCTCAGTTTATGTTTGTTACCTTGATTTGTCCCTTCCAAATCGATTTACGATATCTGAACATCAGAAAACTACTGTGGTCTTAATTTGTGGAAAATATAAAATTATACAGAATTCTTCTATCTTTTTATTATTATATTATTTTTGTATATTAAATAACAATAACATTCTGTTTTTACACATCCGTCAGGTACACTTACATATAATAATTGCAGAAATAGTTCCGCCGTACATTAAGTGATTGAAATATTAATAATAATACGACCAAAAAGCATTTTGACAAACAGTGACAAACTTAAACCGATGCACATAAATATTATTAGTGGAACAAATAAATAATCTCGTGAGAGTAGCTATAATAGTGGACATATAAAAACGTGCTATATTGATTTTAACGTGCTTGGCAAATATTCTAGCATATATTCAAGAATCCAAATTCACGAAGCATTTTCAAGAATCCACATCGATTATGACCTCAAAAGCATCGTCAAAATCATCTATTGTAAACATCGCCGGAGGGAGTTGTCTTAATTCACTTAAACAACTTCACCAATGAAATACATTTTAAATGCTTATGAATCATCCAAATTATGCCCGTATAATGGCACTTGCTACAGGGCTAATGGTTCCTTAAAAGTGACTGATAGTCCACAAAAATTGAGAACGCGAAAGTGACAAAATCTCCAAATAAAGCCAAAAATTATATGATTTCATCATGTATTTTTAATTTATACTTTCAGATGCGTTCATTCATGTTTGCAGCCGGGTTTTCATTAGCATTTGGATCAATGTTTACAAAAACCTATCGCGTACATCAGATATTTACAAGGGCACACAGCGGATTGATTAAAAGTAAAGTATGTTTCATTATCTCAATAGTTATCTGATCATTGTTACTTTCAATTTCTAAGATGTTTACCACTAGACGTAAATCATAATATGAACAGAAATCTTAAAATCATCGTGAAGCTAACCGAAATAAAAGGAAAAAAATAAAAATTGTTGTCAACCTAATGTATTTCTATGCAACTGTCATACAAGTGAGAGGTTTAGCTAGCAATACAACTAGGTTTAATCCACCAGTTTTTACATAAGGAAATGCCTGCACCAAGTCAGGAATATGACAGTTGTATTCCATTCGTTTGGTGTTTTTGAGCTTTTGATTTCGCCATTTGATAAGGGCCTTTCCGTTTTGAATTTTCCTTGGAGTTCGGTATTTTTGTTATTTTACTTTTTACTGTGGAAGGGGATTATACTTAAATATACTTTATCATTTGTAATCATATTTTATACATTCTATGCATTTAGATACCAAAATGTGTGTCAAATTTTAAAGTTAGACGATTTTTATATGTTTTGTGGACAAGTTGTAATTTTATACAATTATAATTAGTACAGGTTTTTTGTACACGTTATCAGTAGTTTAGCACACACAGTTTTCTTCAGGTGATACACGTTTATCTTCAATAATAAACCAGCTTATTAATTTTTACTTTAATTTTTTTTTCTTCAACCTAACGTTAAGCACTGTCCTAGTGAGGTTTAATATTGTTATTTCAGTTGTTACAAGACAAGCAGTTGATTATTATCATATTCGCCTTGCTATTTGTTGATTGTACTATGATGGTATTGTGGGTTTTTGTAGACCCTATGCAACGACAGATATCAAATTTGACAACAGAGGTAGCTTTACTAATTCTAACTATATTAAAGAAAATCTTAACAGCATCCACTTGGTACAGAAACGTGGCAACATGTATAGGCAACCTAAAATCAAATCACAAAAATGAATAACAAAGTTCACGGAAGCGCAAGAATTAACTCTGCATTTCCCCAATTTATTGAACACTTTAAATAAAAAAATGTATCTCATTTTTTGAAACAGATTATAAATATACAAGTGTATGCATTGTATACACTCATCATATATATACTCGTTGAATTAAATACCCTGGTGGTGTCATCTTGGCTTATGAAAATAAGAAGTTGTGGTATGATTGCTAATGAGACAACTCTCCACAAGAAACCAAATGACACAGAAATTAACAACTATAGGTCACCGTACGGCCTTTTTTGTCCACTTTTAATTACAGTTATATCAAAATATTAGTTGTGTTGTTGTATTAGGAATTATAGTTTATTTCTAAATTAAAATTGATCAAGATTAATACACTCTACCATTTAGTTAAAGGACATATGTATAAATTTAAAAGCTTTAACCAGTTTCACTAAAAAGTATAACAAAATTCACAAAATAAATGTTTGGAGAGAATAACTTACAAAATAGTAAAAAATGTGCATGAATTTGACGAATAGTCTTAACAAAATATATGGAAATATGTATTAATTTACAAAATATCTTTAACAATACTAACATCTATAATTAAGATGGTACCGTGTCATGTGATAAGTTTTGCAATTGTTGAAGCAAGATCTGCAGAAATGATCCTATAAAAATCCTAAAAATACTGTAGCACAAGTCCATCAATTATTGGTGTGAACACATGTTCAATCAACATGGTGTATATATATATATATTGCTATAAAATTGAGAATGGAAATGGGGAATGTGTCAAAGAGGCAACAACCCGACCATAGAACAGACAACAGCAGAAGGTCACCAACAGGTCTTCAATGCAGCGAGAAATTCTCGCACCCGGAGGCGTCCTTCAGCTGGCCCCTAAACAAATATATATTCTAGTTCAGTGATAATGAACGCCATACTAAACTCCAAATTGTACACAAGATTGGGCAATTCACATGTTCAAGCTCAGTTTAACGATACATGACCAGAAACATAAACACCGATTATCAATTAAGATAGCAATTACTTGGGGGTTTTGTTCAGTTCTCAAACAGCATAATTGCGCTGAAAAATCAATTAAACATTATTAATTGATAATTTTTAGTACTCCATAAGAACATTAAATTTTTATTATGTTACTTGATAAACGACATTTATTTAATACGGAAAATGGCATGCACAACCGCCATGGAGCAAATAGTAATTTCATATTATCCTTTTTAAAGCCATCACCAGAAGATCCAGATATTCTGTACATATATCAGTCATCGTGCTGTCAGTCAGTTCATATGGATAAATGGTTGGGATCGTTTTATGCATTTAAAGGACTGTTATTGATATTTGGTGTATATATGGCATGGGAGACCCGGAACGTAAAGATTCCAGCACTGAACGACTCCCAGTATATCGGAATGAATGTTTATAATGTTGTTACAATGACAATTACAGTGGTGGTTATGTCAAACATACTGTCAAAGTCACCAACTCTATCCTACATCGTGGAGTCGACAATTTTACTGGTATCAACAACTGTTACACTATGTCTTTTATTTGTTCCAAAGGTACGGACAATCTTAATTCAAATTTGTCATTGCAATTAAATAAATATAGACAATGCTAAATAAATGTGTGCTATATTTATATTATGCAAATCTACATATTAATTATATCAAACTACACAAACCATTGTGTGGGATATAAATATGATCATGCCTGGAATTCTCTTCTACAGCAGTTAAACCATCGTTGGATGGATGACTGTTTGAATGTGGAGGATGTATAATTACACAGCCACTCGGGTCTTAATGGACACGTTGAACCGGATTTAGATTTTTCATAAAGGGAAAGTATCACGTTTTTACGCGTTCCAAATGCTCCAACAACTCTAAGAAGCGTCGTTAGTTGACTTCATGCAAGACAACATGTTTGTCCATGTCCAATATAGTTACCTTTATATTCCAGTTGTAGTTCAAATTTTTCTTTCTTTTATCCCGATCGACCCACTTTGGTATAATCTTCCTATCGTATTTATTGTTTATTTGTTCTTAATATGCATGTAATATATATCAGTAGACGTTAAACAAGCAATAACTAATCAATTGATGTAATTCTGTATACCAATAAGCATACAAATGTATCTCATTAAATCGGCATAGACTGTAATTTTAATGACAAAAACTTAGTAATATACAGTGAATTTTCTAACTTCTTAGTTTTTGAATATTGTTGCTTTACTAAAACAAAATTATTTCATCGACCATATAAGACGTTTATTTTCTATACACATCATATTATAATAATGATTACAAAAGAGTGGTGGAAGATATTAAAGGAACATTCAAACTCAGAGGTCGATAACAAACTGACAATGTCATGACAAAAAAAATGAAAAACGACGAAAAGACAGTGTACCAAACACAACACAGAGAAAAATACAGACTGAACAACACGAACCCCACGAAAGACTGGGTGATCTCAGGTGCTCTGCAATTATAAGTAGATCCTGCTCCACATGTGGCACTCGGCGTGTTGCTCGTGTAAGTACACATTCGGTGATTAGTCTTCTTCTGACAATTAAACTGACAATTAGATCAGTGAAATTGGAGTGCTATGTTATTTTAAAGATAATTGCTCATATTGTAATTGGTTTTCTTAATTTTTGATGAGGACGTTTGAAAATTAAAAATTAAACAATCATAAATCTTGATATTTAGAACGCTTACATGCAAGTAACAAAGGGAAATGGTATATGAATACATTCAATTATAATAATTGCAAATTACTTTCAGTTAGATCCATTACAATAATAACATACTATCCCGTATATATAGACCATTATTTTTTGCATAATATCTCTAGAGGTTTACTTTTCCTCGTTCTTATATGTCTAATCGTGTATAATGTTAATGTACATTTTGGTAGTATTAACCCAGTAGCTTTAGTTTTAATGTTCCTCAATGTTCCCCCATTCATGCCCGAGTAAAGTATTTGTAATAAAAAAAAACATATGAATAACACTTTTTTCTAGTTCTGCACTCAAATGTTTGTTTTTGAGTTTGAATATCGTAGCCTGAATCATCGATTAATATCCATTATAAGTCAAAATGCACATATTAATTTTATATAAATTCATAATTGTTAGCTTACTCTAAGTTAAAACTAAATACATTGTACTTCAGATATACTGTATCGTTACGGCAAAGGGAGCACCAGTGATAGCTTCTTCGGGTATTCTAGTAGAAGATAAAACCAGACGATTTATTGTTAATGACAAAAGAGAAATATATTACAGAGCAGAAGTCCAGAACAGAGTTTATAAGAGAGAAATCATTGAAGTAAGCGGAAAATTTCAATTTGTAATGGCATTTCGTAATTTATCTGCATTTAATGGTTTGATAGAAACGACATTTTTTCTTGAATTAACATCACTAGAAACTATTAATGTTCTAAGCTAAATTTCCGGTACAACAGAATTAAATGATAATTCGATTATCCATATTATTTGATATCCTCCACATATTCTTAACATATTTAATTTCCCAGGAAATGTGTTCATTTATTTGTATTAACTGAGCATTTTAAGGTAGCACAATACAAAAGCAACTACATTTTATAAAAATTTCATTTTCGGCTGTTTTTGTTACTTCTTAATATTCAAAAACCACAGAAGAAAAAAATATTTACATATCTTGCAGTGTTAATGAGTTTTGATGATAATTAGTTTTATAAACAAATGTACGTGTCTGACTGATACAAGATAAGAACATGTGGGCAGTACTATGTGGTTAATCAATAGAATCATTTGATAGCTTTACAACCACTGACCAGCAATAAAAATAACAGTTATGAAAAAGAGGTGGATTAGGCATTTATGGAAAAATGAGAGATAATGAATTCCAAATAAAAATACATTTCTGTATTGGAGATGTCAGGAGAAAAAACAAAACAACTATTTGGAGCTAAAGAGAGAATCAAAATATAAATGTACAGATATTAAACATATATAATTGTACAACAATAAATGTTGCTGATGTTTATACTAGAACTTATTGAGGAGAATTTTTAAATATGAATTCTTTTTAAAAGAAAATACAAATTTTTAAAATACTTCATTTTCAAACTGCGAAAAATGAAAAAAATATACTTTGTGTAAAACACCATATTGTCATTGTATACAATTATAGTTTTAGAAATCCCCCATAAGGATCCTCTAGACTGACCAACAGATCATTTTGTGTTCACATGCATAACTTACTTTTTGTAACAATGCAAAAAGTACTAAAAGAATAAAATCCATATTAAAAAAAGTAAATGCAATGTGTAATTAAACTTCTGAGATCATTAATAGTAAAGGTTTATCATGGTGGGCGGAGTTTTGACCATATCAGTAGCAACTGACTTACAGCAAGGTCAATAATGATATAACATCTCCCGCCAGATCTGATTGTTGATGCATAGGGTGTGCATTTTCTTTATATATTTAGAATTGCTGAATTGGAATGCTTTCTTACTGGTCAAAACCTAATTGATTTATGATTAAAAGCCAATCCTGAAGTATTCCCATGGTTCATGTGTGAATTATATTGAAGTTAAAGGGGTACAAGTTGGAAAATCCTTATTTATTCAATTGTGACACATTCATTTTTGTCATGAAAATGTAGTTTTAAATAAAATTAGCTCCTAGATGGGTGCCTCTATATGATTGATTTTCATACACGGACAGGTTGTTCCTTGACCAGTTATCTTCAAAAGGGTGTCTCAGATTTCCAAAAACATCAATAGAACAAATTTTATACCCAATTTAATTTAGTGATCTCTTATGAATTGAGGTTGCAAACTTAAGGTTTATGAGAGAATGAAATACAATTGGAAAAATCTGAGACATTCTTTTGGAGGTCAAACTGTGTTGCACAAGAATCTATAAAATATTTTGGGATGGTATGAATAACAAAAAAGCTAATTTCATTCAAACAATGAGTGAAGTCAGGGACATACATAGTTCTAGTTACAATATCAGTGCACTGACACAATTTTTGGTATACTTTTGAAAAGTGTCTTTTTTCTCATCTTATTTTCAGAATCTTGAATCAGATAGTATGTGTTGCCTCACTTGGTGCTATTCGTGTTATACATATTTTTTTCTGGACAAATAGTACCAAAATTTGGTTCATGCAGCTAACAAAATAGTGTTGGCATATTTTAAAACGAAAAAACAAATTGTCTTTATGTATTCTTTATGAATACATTTTAAGCAGTAGATTCGGTAAAGACCTTAGTTGGTCCACAACATTTAGTCAATTATTACAAGATGCTTCCCTCGTGATGTCTTGTGATTATTTTTGTCGTAGAGTTCTTCCCTCATCTACGTTTACATTTGTACCTCATATCTCCTTTTATTTATATAAACTTGATGCATAACACGTCACAAAGAGATACAGAACGATTGTTGTCGAGCTTATGTCATAAAAAGTAGACATTTACACCTACAATAGGCCAACAATAAATTTGGGTGGACATTGACAAGATTTCCTGGATTTCTAACCAAATTAAGCCTATAAACAGAGCGAGTGTTCGATCAAATATCAAAATTGGTGTTTGGTTTATTTTATTAGTATTGATGCATTTTCGTTAACGATTATCGCCAACCACGCAGTAACTATATAGAAACTGCATGTTTAGAATAGTCTTAGCCCAGTTCAGTGTGTTTGGTTTTGCTCCGCTGATTAATGTCGAAATTAACGGGCTTTGGACTTTGAAAATTTCATGAAAATAGCAGTTATACCGACTTTTTCTCTGAACGCCGTCACACATTTAGCTGATTTTTAGTATGTTAGTCTACTATGATGAGTTACAGATAGAGTTTACGTTTGGTTCCGCTCAATTGATTTTTGCCGAAACTACGGGCTTTGGGCTTTGAAAATTTTGTGAAAATAACAGTTATACGGACTTTTTTTCCACACGCCTTCACATATTCCGCTTCATTGATTTTTACTGAAATTATGGGCTTTGGACTTTCTACGCGCCTTTACATATTGAGCCGATTTTTAGTATGTGAGTTTTCTATCATGAGTTACAGGTCGAGTTTATATTTGGTGTCGCTTCATTGATTTTTACTGAAATTACAATGTAGGGACTTTGACTTATAAAATTTCATGAAATTAGCCGTTATACAGACATTTTTTCTAAACACTTTCATATATTGAGCTGATTTTTAGTATGTGACTATAAAAATAAGAAGATGTGGTATGATTGCCAATGAGACAACTCTCAACAACAGACCAAATGACACAGATACCAACAACTATAGGTCATCGTATGGCATTCAACCATGAGCAAAGCCCATACTGCAAAGTCAGCTATAAAAGGCCCCGAAATAACAAATGTAAAACAATTCAAACGAGAAAACTAACGGCCTAATTTATGTACAATATAATGAAGGAAAAACAAATATGTTGCACAACAACAAACGACAACCACTGAAGTACAGGCTCCTCATTTGGGACAGGCACATATAGAATGTGGCGGGCTTAAACTAGTTTGAAGGCGCCAACCCTCCCCTAACCTAGGACAGTAGTGTAACAGTACAACATAAGTCAACTATGATGAATTTCAAATCAAGTTTACGTTTGGTTCCGCTCCATTGATTTTGGCTGATATTACAGACTTTGGACACTGACAATTTCGTGAAAACAGCTGTTGCATAGACTTTCATTCTCGTATTATCACTCAAAAAAATGGCTTCAACCTTTTTGCGAACAGGGCCGGGGTGTGTCTGTTTTAGTCAGGAACCTGTAATGCAGTCACTATGGTTGTCGTCGATTTCTGTTTGTCATATTTGCTTTTCATTTATTTCTTCTTTTGAATTGTTCCACATTTTGTCATGTTGAACCTGTTCTAGCTGACTATACGGTAGGGGATTTGCTCATTGTTTAAGGTCGTTCAGTGACCCATAGCTGCTTACATCCTCGTCATTTGGACTCTGTTATATAGTTGTCTCATTGGCAATCATACCACATCATCACATTTATAATAATAGCTGTACAAAAGTATTATATAGGGACTGAAATAGAAAATTGTCACTCAAATTGACACTAAAGAGAAAATAAAATGTCAGTCAACATATGGAGAATTATTAGGTCTATGTAGACCAAAAGTAACACGCAAATAATGTCACAAAGGCCATTTAGAAAAAAAAAGAAAACAAGAACCTTTAGATATATTAATGAAAAATTAAACACTACAGAAAGCCAAGCTAATAATGTGCTACATAAAACTGAGTATTTATAATTTATAAATAAATTAAGGTATTTGAAATTAAACATAATTTTGTAAGCCATGCGTGCGTTTTGTCTGCATAGAACTCACCAGTGGCGCTCGAACTATACAGCAAAATAAGAACTTGGAAAGCATTAAAACACAGAAAAATTCAAAAGTTCTGTTAGCTAAGGCAATCTATGCTAGATGTAGAGAAACCTTAGTGTTTCGAGTATAATTCAGCATTTCATAAACAGTACATTTACAGAAAATGAACATATGAAGCATAGTTTTATGTCAACACAAAAGTGCTGACCACTGGGCTATTAATCATTCCTATTAATTTATTAATTACATAGTATGCCAATTGTGATATTTTGGATAGCTAGAACAGGAGATTACAAGGTTAGAGAGATTACTTGAACAACCGCTTGAACCTTATCCTAAGATGACGTCAGAACTTATGAAAGTCCTACCAGAAACTCGTATTGATTCTTTATCTCCTACCCCAGATATTACAAGGCGAATAAGAAGGTAATTAACTGTACATTGGAAATACCAGGATTAAGAAAATAATATAAACGTATAGTCCGATAACAGTAAGTACATCATATTTTCCTGGGCGAAAAACAGTATAAGCAATTGAAATATTTTGTTATTCTTTTTTAAGAAATGTTACAATGAACACTCAGTTTTTCAACTCATTCGGTATTCAAGAGCTTGCAGCTGCTACTCAGACTTTAGAAAACGTCACCAGTATCTGAGCAGAAATTTGGTGAACCAGGGTTATGTCAAAGAACGTCTTATCAAGTTCATCGGAAAATACTAAGATATTGTTGATAAATATTCCACATGAACTTCATAAATAAGACATGATGGTCATGAAGTATAGATTCTAGGTACTGACGTAGTTTGTCATCTTAATTACATGTTAAGAGTTATCTTTTTATTTGTCGTTGTATATTTTTAACCTTTACTGTTTAGTCCATTTTTGGTAATATCCTTTTGTTTTGGCGTACCTCGGTATTTATACATCTAGCCATTGTGTTATTTTGATATGGTCATTTCCCTCAGTTTTAGTTTGTAACCCGGATTTTTTTTTTCTCAATCGATTTATGAATTTCGAACAGCGGTATACTACTGTTGCCTTATTTTGCACACCTGGCCGAAAGGCCAGATGAGCTTTTCTCATTACTTGGCG